AGTCATATATTTATTGATAATATTGATCATTATTATATTGGCTTTATTTTTAGTTTATTTTTTAATATTTAATTTATCATTAAGCTATCTTTTTATGATATAAGGCTGATATTTGTATAATTTAATTAGCTAGTAAACAATTTTCTAGCCGATTATATAATATTTGTTTTTTTACATATTGCCTATTAATCACCTTATTATATTAAAAAATTTTGACTAGTGGTAGATACTTAGACTACTAAGCTATAAATCTCTAACCTGTTAAAAAATTTAGATCAAAAAATTAACTTGATATGATCTTGAAGATAAACTTAAATAAATTATTTATGCTCATATGTAGCAATTTATATAGAGGTAGTAACAACAATTATATAACAGAAAATTTCTTTTACCAGAATTAATATTACTTGTAGCTATATATTGGAGTGATATTAATTTTAATAAAAAACTCCCAAATAGTTATTTTTTATTATTTATCAGTATTGTAAACTTGCATTCCTTGAATATGTGCTAGGTTAGTAGTATATTAATCAGCCAAAATACAATTGTTTGTGCAATTTAACAAACTTTAATAATTCAAGTATAAACTACAATACAAAATTTCAATAAGAGCTCTGATATTTATTACCTAATATTCATTTACTATAGAGCTCTACCTTCTTCTCAGGTAATATTTTTATTAACCAATTAAATTTTAGAATTATATTAAAATAAGGTTTGGCTTTATCTTTCTACTCCCTAAAATATTATCTAATAAATATTAATACGCTAAACAAAAAGATCATTTATCAGATATATCTAAAAATTATTTCTACCTGATTTCTGTTTTTTCTAATTTCAAAAAATTATACTCTCTTCATCATTTTATAACTTTTAGTATATAGTATTATAGTTATTCAATTTGTATCTTTTTTTATAATGCCTTTCAAATTTTTTTTACAATTCAAAATAATAGTAGTTCATCGAAGTTTTTAATTAATATTGATCTTAAAAGTTTGGATACTAAATATCTAAGATGTATAAATTAATAAAATAAATATGTATTGTATAGTTTATAAAAAATTTTTCATATATTTTACTTAAATCATATTTTAATATGAAAAAGAATAATACTAATACTAATCATTAAAAAATAAGTTCTTTACATATCCTATTTACATATTATGTATTTCTGCTATATACAATATCTACAATTTTGCAAATTAAAATAAAGAATCTACAAAGTACACAAGTATATACAGAAAGATAGTAAAATGCAAGCTGAAAAATTGCATTCAAAAGAAGATATGCATATATATGTATGTATATACTATTATTCTATATCCACTTCTTTAAAGATAATAGATAACTAGAGTGACTATAAAAATAATATGTAATAGATATGCTACATGTAAAGAATTTCGTGCAGTTGATCATCAGCCAATCAGGTTGCGCCACATGTGATCTATATATAGAATATTTGATCAAATCACATTTTTGGTCTGATCTCAACTTTCTGTGATTAGATTTGGATGATCTTACCATCTTTAGATTCGTCTCGATGAGCAAATTCGAATAGTAGTTGTTTTATCTTAATTGGATCAGTGGTTGCGGAGATACAGTATGAGCCAAAATAGCTTTTTCTTAAAGGTTAACATTTTCTCAGGCTTATTTTTGAGTTCTATGAAAATTTAGTAGAGAAGGGCAAGAATAGCAGCTAGAAGCTGTTTTATGTTTGTCAAGGTCAAAAACTTGGTTCAGTAGATTGCTTCTATTCTACGGGAAGAGAATAGTTTATAAGTTCAGATGGATGTATTTTCATAATATTTTGTTAGGAGGTTTGCTAGAACTGTTCGTTAGGCTAGAGTTCTAGATCTTGTTTCTAATAACCCTTCTAAATAATAAGCATAAACCAAGGTTCTAATTTAGTTGGCATTATTATTTTTTTGTCTTGCCATATTTCTTATGCTTGATAAGTATCTCGAACTTTTCTTCTAGTATTATCAGATCGATAATAAGGAAAAGCTTCTATATTAACATTAGTTGGCTCTGTTTTATTTAATTCTTGTAAAACCATATCTACTATAGTTGCCATAATAGCATAAAATAAAAAAAAAAGAAGAGAGAGAAAAGATAAAAATAAAAAGATAAACAAAAAGAAAATCTATATAAATATAATAAAGTTTCACGATAATATTTTTGTAAATTGATATTCAAAAATTTGTCTATCCATAGTACAAATTTTTGTAATAAAAAAATACTATATTACACTAAACTATAAAAGAATTATTGTAGTATAGATGCTGTAAATCATCATCCATCAGCAGAGTTTGTAGTCTATCAGCGGGTATTGAACTTACGGCTGTTAACTGCAGTCACAAATTATTACTACTCTACTGCAATCAGTAATATTTAAAAATTTTTTAATTGTCCTATTTTTAAATATATTAAAATTACTAAATTTAGATAAGAGCAACAAAATTTAAGGTTTGTGTAATACAGGGGTAATATCGAATAAGAATATAAATAGTATGATAATAGTATTCGTAAAAAATTAAATCAAAAGAAATTTTAATAACATAAGGATAAAAAGATAATATATAATAGTAATATTAATAGTAGTAATAATAATAATAATACTAATAATAATTATAATAATAGAAAAATAAAAAAAAAGAAAATGCTGCTAAGATATCGAACACCAAACCATCAAAGAAGAAGTCATCAAAGAAGAAATGATAGGCAAAATGCTATATATGAAGCTATTGAAGAGCTTCAAACTAAAAATAAAAGGTAATAATAATAATATCATATAGTAATAATAATAAGATAGTAAAATAATAAAAATAATAAGTAATAAAAATTATAATAACGATAATAATTTAATAATAATTATTTAGGTTGGCACGAAAGATTGCATCATTAAGAAGACAAGTTGTGGCGTTGAGAAGAGAAGTGGGGAATTTAGAAGATAGAGTGGAGGATCTAGAAGAAGCAGTAGAGGATCAAGAGATGTATATCAGTGAAATTGAGCAGGGAATTTTTATAAAAATGCGCAGTATTTGGTGTTGATACGAGAACAAAGTAGATTGAGGTCACAGGTGGAAAATTTGAGGTTGTTGATACAAAACATTCTGATTCCAAATATAAAATAATTTTTTGTAAATAGTTTTCTTCTTTTTTTTTTGTATATATTTTCTCTTTTTTTTTTTTCTTTATTTTTTTTTTGTTTTAAATAAATTTTATATTTTTTGCTATTAAAAGTTAATAAAAATCCAGTAATTATAATAAGAAAATTAATAATAAAATAAATAATGGTTAGATATTAATTATAGGGTTCTATGATTATCATGTGTAGTATTTTTTTAGAAGATAGGTATTAATTGGTATTTCTAATATTTGTTCTTCCATGGTACAAAGTTTGTATACATCTGGTACTATTTTTTAATAGATAAAGTAAGGTCTTTTCCATTTTAGTAAAAATTTTTCTGTGAAACTCTTATTTCTAGCAGCATCATAGCATAATACTTGTTCTTCTTTTTTGAATAGTTTTCTTACTTTCTTTATCTTTTTGCCCTAGTAGAACTTTTGTCATTGTTGTGATCTATCGATATTATTCTTGGCTTGCTCTCTTTTAGAAGGCAGATCTTCTACAAGGATGTACAATCTTGTCAAGAGAGTTTCTTCTAATATTTCATAAGATTCAAAAATAGATATTTTTGGTTCTCTTAAATTTTTCTAATAAAATACTAGAATTAGTAAAATAGATAATATATCTTAATTTTTCAGCAAAATTGATCCTCTAGGATCATATATATATATTGTTGGTTATTGCAAAAGTAGAAATCTGAAGGTTCTATATACTTTGGTTTCAATTGTAATTGTTTTTCTGACCAGTATCTCTAACTACAGCTTCTTATTATTTTTAGGTTCTAATATAATTATTTTTGTTTCAGATATGGTACTATTTGTTTCATTTAAATTTTGAGGCTCTTTTGCAAATTCTAATTTCTATTCAATAGCCTTTTTCTTATCTTTAGAGGTGCTTATACTATTTTGATAACACCTTTCAGAATTATTTTGTCTATTCAAATTACTATCTTTAGCAGAATTTTGAGACCATTCTAATATTTTGTAATCACTCCTTTTATTTGGTTCAAATTTATCCATAAACTTTTCGACTTTCTTCTTCCAAAAATTATATATGGTGTTCAAGAGTTCTTTGATATCAGTAGGTATTTGTGCTTTGACTTTACTTTTTTTTAATATCTTTTTCACTTTATTAATAAATTTTTCTGCTTTTTCTATAATGCTGATACATCTTTCTTTCTTAATTATTTTGTCTTGATCTTTATTATTTTTGATAACTTCGTCTTTACTAGAATAATATTTATTCATTTTAAGTCCAATCTCATTCTTATTGTAAGGCTTAATTTCTTTATCAGCCTTTTGTTCTAGAAGCTTATTCTTGTTATTATTATTTATATCATCAAGCTTGTCATTACTATCATCATCTTTATTGATTCCCTCTGCTACATCATTATTATATTCAAACTTTTTCATCCAGTTTAAACAAGAATTATCTTTTTTCTCTTTATAGATATATTTTTGAATAATGGCTTTATACTGATCAATTGGCTTTTAGAGAAAAGGTTCTAGATTAATTTTTCCTTTCTCAAAATCAAGCTCTATATTTTTAGAAGACCTTTTTACAGATTCATCAAGAATATAATAAGAATTAAAATTTTTAAAGATAAACTCTTTCTTGTTTTGAGGCAATATTAAGAGATCTTCTAGATTTGAAACTACTAAAGATACAAAAGGTAGATTTTTTTTTTTGTAATTGGAGCTACTTGAATATAGGAAGGTAAATATATAACTGATATATTTTTATCACTATTTTTCATCAGCTTTTCTCTATCTATTAAATCCTCTAATATCTCAAGTACTAATTCTAAAGCCTGAGGAAGTTGATCATCATTGATATAGTTATTTTCAAAGACTACATTAATTAGTTGTTGAAATTCAATAGTTTGTTTATTGGTAAGAGTCTTAGTTAGAGCAACATATTTTTTATCTAATTCTTCTACCTTAGGGCATTTACTAATTATATGTTCTGTTATATTACAATAAATACACCAGAATATTTTTTTAAAAGTTCTTTGGCATGGTTTATAATTTCATGATTTTTCTTGGACTTGTTGTGATAAGGTCTTTTTTATTTGATATTGAGTGTTTTTCTTTAAAGATTGGCATGATCTGGCTTGACTAATGGTAGATATTTGATTTTGATTATAAAAATTCATTTTGATATAGTGCTTGAATAGTTAAAAATTCATCATACAGATACAAAATAAAAAATAAAAATTTTCGTTTAGGTTTCCAACACTTATTACAAATCAGGGTCACGTTTTTAAAATTTCAGCTCAAACAGAGCAATATTGGTAAACTTCACTTAGTACCAAACGTTTCTAAATATTTCTTTTCTTTGCAGATCTTTAAAGAAGAAAAATGCTGTCAACATGTTTTACGGGTTCCAGTGGTGTTTTGTTTTATGATAAGCTTAGAACAAAAATTACGAAATGTTTCAACAGATGTACCCTTAAATTTTTAGACCAAACAGAGCAAAATTGATTGACTTCAATTAGTATCAATCATTCTACGAATTGGATATTTTCTTTACAAAATATCATAAAAAAAGTGTTGTATTTCACAGTTACCACCAATTTGTTATCCTATATCCACTTCTTTAAAGATAATAGGTAACTAGAGCGACTGTAGCCAGTAAATACTTTGTATAATGTCCCGAGTTACTGTATTTTAACTAAGTCAGTATGGCGTTTTTACAAAACTTAACAAAGAAGATTTAAGGCAATTTGCAATT